ATTTATTTTTCCATTAGTTTTTTGCTCAGATGGAAAGCGTTCCACTGACAGTAATCAGTCCCTCAACCTTGAGTCGATGTGGTCAGTCCATCAGTCTTGAATAGAATACGGCATATGTGCGGAGAAGCAGCTTATAAACTGTAGGCAGGAGAGGTGCAGCAGTCATAGGTGGTGTCACATTTGTCCAATGTGGAAGTAGGTCGTGCCCAAGGGTTAGGCAAGCAAAGAATTCCCAAGTATTAAGATCCCAAGAAGTTGCAGTGTCTGACAGGATTGCAGATGAATGGTTCAGATAGCTGACACATTGATAAATTAGACACATGTGCAACTCTTGGGTATCTTCATTGAGGAAATGTTTTGCCACACAGTGGCTTCATCAGTCCATACATAGGAGAAACTTGAAGAACAGGAGGAGAATGAGGTAATCAGTCCCTCAACCTTGAGTCGATGTGGTCAGTCCATCAATCTTGAATAGAATATGGCATATGTGCGGAGAAGCAGCTTATAAACCGTAGGCAGGAGAGGTGCAGCAGTCGTAGGTGGTGTCACATTTGTCCAATGTGGAAGTAGGTCGTGCCCAAGGGTTAGGGACTGATTACCTCATTCTCCTCCTGTTCTTCAAGTTTCTCCTATGTATGGACTGATGAAGCCACTGTGTGGCGAAACGTTTCCTCAATAAAGATACCCAAGAGTTGCACATGTGTCTAATTTATCAACATGTCAGTTCTCTGAAACATTCAAATGCAATCTTGTCAGACACTGCAACTTCTTGGGATCTTAATACTTGGGAATTATTCGCTTGCCTAACCCTTGGGCACAACCTACTTCCACATTGGACAAATGTGACACCACCTACAACTGCTGCACCTCTCCTGCCTACAGTTTATAAGCTTCTTCTCTGCACATATGCCGTATTGTATTCAAGATTGATGGACTGAACACATCGACTCAAGGTTGAGGGACTGATTACCTCATTCTCCTCCTGTTCTTCAAGTTTCTCCTATGTATGGACTGATGAAGCCACTGTGTGGTGAAACGTTTCCTCAATAAAGATACCCAAGAGTTGCACGTGTCTAATTTATCAACGTCTCGGTTCTCTGAACCATTCATCAGCAGGTGTTGTTACCTGGTATTTCATTATGAGTTGTCTGACCACAGACAAACAAAATTCACCGTACGGTGGTCTGTTGCCAGTCTTCACTTGGTACATATTATATGCACTGAGCATTGAAATGTCCTTGAGATGGAAGAAAAGTTTCATGTACCACTTGTAACTCTTATGAACACAATCAACAAAGCCAATCTGCATGTCACATTTGTCAACCAAGCGTATGTTTTGTGTATAATTAATCACTGTCACTGGTTTTCGAATATGTTCATTAGTCACTCTATCAACTTTGCCACTGTCTTGCATTTCGTTATGGTGAATGGTTGTCAACAACGTGACATCTCATTTGTTATGCCACTGTGATGCCATGATGTCATTGGCAGTAAACACCTGCACCTTTTCACCATGAGTGCCTGCGTTGAACCTGGGCATATGTTTACGATTAGAACGCACTGTGCCACACACATCTGTCATGTTCACTCGCAAGAACTCACTGAGTAAAGGACTTGTGTACCAGTTATCAGTATATAATGTATGCCCCTTACCAAGATAAGGTGCCATCATGCTTCTCACTACATCACCTGAGATACCCAATAACATCCTGGTATCTTTCAATGTTTTACTTCCTGTGTATACAACAATATCCAGTACCAGGCCACTGTCACAGTCACAGAGTACAAACAGTTTTATACCAAAGCATTTCCTCTTGCTCGGTATATACTGTTTGAACAAGTCTACCTTTGAACAAAATCAAAGTCGTCAAGTACAAGATTCTTGAATGGATAAAAGTACATGTTGAACTTTTGTTTCAGATACATAAACATTTCTAATCTTGTATAACATACAAGATACATAAACATTTCTAATCTTGTATAACATACAAGATACATAAACATTTCTAATCTTGTATAACCTGTCACTTCTGTCAGGCCTGGTTTTGTCAGAGAAGTACAACATACGTAACAGTAAGATAAACCTGTTCACTGGGATAATTTCACTGAAGACCGGGGTACAAATTAGCCAATCTGTGGACCAGTATGATTTTTTATTATGCTTATAGACATGAGGCATAAGCATTATTGTTGCAAAAAGCAAATACTACATTTCTGCAACAGTTGCCACTTTCCACTCTTGTAGTCTTGACTGTGGTGATATGATCATATTTGCCATGGTGTACTCAAAATACTTGTTGCTTTCTCTGACAATAGTTTCCATCAATGGCTGGCCAAAGAATAGGTCAAAAAATTCCAGTTCATTTGCAGTGTTTCCAAGGGGACAAGTAGGTAGAATTCCACTTTGAGAATCATCAAAGTGGTGGAGCTTGGGAACAAAAATGGGATTTTGCTGCCAATCTCAGATACAGTTTGCTGGTGGATACTGGACATCATAAGCTGGTTGTGATAGTTGTGGTTGTGGTGGGCTGGTGGCTGATGCTCCACTTTGTCCTTGAACTGAGGAGTCAGCAGCGTGGGTCCCAACCTGGGCTGGTGAGTCATGCATGGTCGTGGCACTACCATCACCACTACCACCATCTACTGATGCCTGTGGTCTATCCATGTCAAGTGTAGCCACATCATCCTCACTTTCACTGTCTATTCCTGGTGTAGGACCATGGGGGGTACTCCGGGATGTACTCCGTCCCCTGGGCACTGCACAGGGAACACTCCCCGAGCGCATGCGGCGGTGTATATACCGATGCTTCACTGGTGAATATGTTTCCTCACTATCACTACTCGAATGATCGTCAAGAGCAATAAAATCACAATCCACATCACTATCATCATCATTACTGAAGTCAGAGGCCTGGCCATGTGAAAAATAATAGTTTTCTCTTGCGATGAGGTACAACTGAACGTGACTAAGGCATGCCCACACCAGAGGTAGAAGGTTGAGGATCGTCAGGGTTTTCTGCACTATTATTGATATCCTGGTCATTCCTTTCGGTCAATAACTGATCAAAGCCAAAGAATTCGTCTTCATTTCCACTTCCATCAGTCAGAACTATCAGATAGGAAGAGGAGAGTCCCAATTTTCCTCAGAGTGAGAGCTGCCTTGTGACGAGGCATTATGAACAAAGGTAACTGAGCCAGTGTTCCCACAATGCTATGCGGGCGCCTAGAATTTTTGTTTATGGCGTGCATGCACCATGCAGACCCGTTCTCTCACATGTAGGCCCACCAGCCTTTTCGCGCTAAATTTGACGCCGTTAGAATTTTGGCACAGATCTACAGTTTGGACCCTGAACGTAAAGCCATAGATCTACGGCACGGACCCTGAAAGGATTAAGTTAATTTTAAGCCTGCCCATAATGCTCTGCATACAAGGGGCTGTTGGCATGTTACACTTAACCACTGTATTTCTTTGTACATCTATGTATCATGTACAAATTAATAATAAATAAAAAGTTGAAATTGGTAAATGGGCAGTTTCTTGTACTCAGTCGATAGAACAAATGGAGTTCTAAAGGAATAGCTATGAGTTTGGTCGACTGGAACAATGGAATTGTCTGAAAATAGGGCTCAAAGTTGGCAAAATCACCGATTTGTAAATATCGCTGAGGTCGCTAACTTTGCAAGAGCATAATTCCATAAGTTTTCCATCAAATTTCGTACTTTTGGTGTCATTACCATCGGGAAAAGATTCTCTATCATTTCATAAGAAAAAATCATTTTTTTTTTCAAATATTTTGCGACACCAGGAGACACCTCAGGATTTGGGGTTGTGACAGTGAAAGGGTTAATATCTACCATATATTTTCATTACAGGTCTGGGGTATACCTGGAGAGGGTTTCAGGGGTCAATGCCCCCATGGCCTGGTCTGTGACCAAGCCTCATGGTGGATCAGGGCCTGATCAACCAGGCTGTTACTGTTGGCCGCACACAACCCGATATACGAATGACAGCCCAGCTGGTCAGGTACTGAATTTAGGTGCCTGTCCAGCGCCTTCTTGCTGGCACTGTACTTCACCTCCAAGACTCGAGTCTGGCAAACTGGTTTCCCTAAATTCCTTCATAAATGTTATTCTGCTCACATTCCAACAGCACATCAAGTCATATGACCATTTGCCTTCACTCGAATGTATATTGGAATAACATTTAATAGTAATTATAATTATCTACACATGATAATTCTGTTTTATTATTTATTATTTTTTTATTAACACACTGGCCGATTCCCACCAAGGCAGGGCGGCCCGAAAAAGAAAAACTTTCACCATCATTCACTCCATCACTGTCTTGCCAGAAGGGTGCTTTACACTACAGTTTTTAAACTGCAACATTAACACCCCTCCTTCAGAGTGCAGGCACTGTACTTCCCACTTGAGTCCTGGAGATGAGAAGTACAGTGCCTGCACTCTGAAGGAGGGGTGTTAATGTTGCAGTTTAAAAACCGTAGTGTAAAGCACCCTTCTGGCAAGACAGTGATGGAGTGAATGATGGTGAAAGTTTTACTTTTTTGGGCCACGCTGCCTTGGTGGGAATCGGCCAGTGTTAATAAAAAAAAAATAATAAATAATATAACAGAATTATCATGTGTAGATAATTATAATTACTATTAAATGTTATTCCAATATACATTCGAGTGAAGGCAAATGGTCATATGACTTGATGTGCTGCTGGAATGTGACCTGTATTCAGCTTTAATTCAAATATGTACTCACATCAACTGAACAAATGTGTTAGTATTAAGTAGTTTAAAGTTATAGTTTCAGTGTGTCTAAATGCTTTGCATAAACAAGGATTTTTCCCAAAATGTAAGATACAATATTTCAAAATACCGTATTCTTTTTATTTCTTTTGAAAACAGTTTTGTTTGTAATCTGATGTAGCTATTATTGCATAGTCCATGTGTGAAAACAAGGACAGTAAGATTACATACAATATTTCTTACCTTGAATTCTTGCTGGTGATACTTACAAGTCTTGACATGAGTGGTGAGAGGATAGTGTGGTCCTACTGGGCCAATATGAATGGCTGCTGTTGTTGGATTGTGAAGCATGGTTGTGGTTGATGGTCTGAGGGAAATGGTTGTAGTTCCTGAGCTGAGTTGGATGTCTGTGGTCCTTGTATATATGTCGGGAATTAACAAGAGTGAGAACCTTGATTGTCTCCTAAATAAAAGGCAGTGATTTTGTCTTTACCTTTTAATACAAAGGGATTCTGTGAATGATAAAAAAACCACAGACTTGCATCTGAAGTCACTTGATGCATTAGTGCAAAGATTCAAAATCACACAATCCTTCACCATCTTGAATCCTGGTGAGCTCATCTTTTGCTTGTTACTGCATGTCCTACATGGCATCTTCGAAAATATAACTGTCTTGTCAGCATTAAACTCTTGCTCAGACTTCTAGTTACCCCTGAAAAATAATTTCCTCCAACTAGGTAGGGAAATTTCCAGTGGCAGAATTGTCATCCGATGCATTTTCTCCATTAAATTTTATATTATAGTGCTGAGAGCACACTTTAATTCAACTGACCCAGCCAGAACTACATGAACATTCTTGTGGTGCCTTCCCCCCCTCCTCACATATTAATTTATAGAAGATGTACAGGTCGGCCATCACTAATCTGGCAATCAGTTATCCGATTCCATCAGTAATCTGGCACTAATTTCAGCTAGCATACTTTCAAATTTCATCATTATACTGACTCGAATCATTATATTAACTCAAATTTCATCATATTACTAACTCAAAAATTGTGCAGATAGTTGTAAATACACAGCAGCAGCATGGCAGAGATTATTATTATTATAATCAAAAAGAAGCGCTAAGCCACAAGGGCTATACAGCTGCATGGCAGAGAAAGCACTGATGAAAATGAGGAAGATGTAGCATATAATCTATACTGATAGGTTCATTAAGTGTATTCTAGCCTAACCACTCTGCAATCCGGCATACTCACTAATCCGGCACACTACGGGTCCCAATAATGCCAGATTAGTGATGGCTGACCTGTATTTGTGCTTTCCCTCCCTTTGACTGTCGAAAGGCCCAATCCTGAAGTGTCTCCTGGTGTCGCAAAATATTAGAAAAAAAAAAATTATTTTTTGTTATGAAAATGTTAAGATTATTTTTCTGATTGTTTTAGTCCCCCAAAAAAATTTTCCCATCAGTACTTACCCAGATATAGAGGCATGAAGTTTGCAGAAAATGAGCCGCGTATGGCAACAGCGGCGACTGCCGCTTACCCGGTAAACTTTAGTTTACTTGTATTTGAAGGTTTGTTGTTTTTTTCACTACTTTATTTTTTCACAAAAACTTATGTGGTATGGACCAAAGTAAGGGGCAAGTACATTATCCCCCCCCTTGTATACAACAAAATAAAAACAAAAAATTAATTATAACGTGGCCCCCGTTAACGCCCCCCAAAATTGAAATTATGAAAGGGTTTTTTATGAAAAGTGCGTTTGTGTGTATTTTTGGGGGGTTGAAATGGATAATTAGGGGTTCCAATATTCCTTAGGGAAAAAAAAAGTCGGTCTGTTGGACCTGAACATCTACTGGAATGAAAAAGTTGTTAACCGGGGGGTCCATGTATATTGTTTACAAAACTTGTTTACAAAACAATCAAAAAAATTGTTTTTATATTGTTCTATAATATATATCCAATTACAGTCATGAAATTTTCCCTAAAAGTTCTGCGTTGGGGAACTCTTTGAAAAATGGTGTCATAACAGGGGTGTTTTAATTTACACAAAAAAACTGGTTTATAACGGGTGTTTTACATTTACACATAAAAATGGTGTTTTCACAGTGGTGTTTTCATCTTAACATAAAACATGGTGTCATAACAGTGGGTTTTACACCCCTCAACATAAAAATGGTGTCATACCGTGGTGTTTTACATCTTACACATAAAAAATGGTTTGTCTAACAGTGGTTTTTTTACACTCTCACACAAAAAAAATGGGTCATCACAATGGGTTTTACCTCTACACATAAAACATGGTGTTACACGTGGGTTTTCACTCCTCAACATAAAACATGGTGTCATACAAAATGGGGGTTTTACACTCTCACACAAAAACATGGTGTCTAACATGGTGTTTTACACTCCACACAAAACATTTGTATACACAATGGTGTTTTACACTCTCACATAAAAAATGGTGTCTACCAGGGGTTTTTACACTCTCAACAAAAAAACATGGTGTCATACATAAGAACTAAGAGAAAATAAGAACGAAGGAACACTGCAGAAGGCCTACTGGCCCATGGAGGAGGTCCAAGTCCCTCCCGGTTTAAAGCCAATGCACCCCAACCTGTAGGCAGGTCACATTACTTAAGGGGGGAACCGGAACCGCCTGTTGACAAGTTAGGCTAAATCACACCACCCACATCTACTCATGTATTTATCAACTATTTTAAAAACTACACAAGTTCTGGCCCCTAACGGTATTGGGGGTTTGTTCCACTCATCCAAACTCTATTACCCAAAACCCGTACTTTCCCAATCCCTCCCGAATTGAATTTTTTTTCCAACTTAAAACCCTTGCTGCGAGTCCTGTCTAGGCTAGAAAATTTTGCACATATTTTCTCCCCCTTTTTTTTTTTCGTTTCCACTTTAAACCTAAACATTCCCCCCCAATTCTACGTCTTTCTAGGAGGCAGTTTAGGGCCTTAGTCTATCCCTAGGGAAGGTTTCTGATCATGGGGTCTTTTGTCATCCTCCTTTGTCATTTTCCAGGAAATTTTTTCCTTCTGTAATCGGGGCCAAAAAATGTGCAGCATAAACTAAATGAGGCCTAACCAAGGGGTGTATAGAGTTGAGAACAACCTGGGACCCCATTATTTATGCTTTGATTAGCCAGGATTCTTTAGCTTTTTTGCGAACACTTATGCACGTTTTTGGTTTCAGATTATGTAACCCGAACTCCTAAATCTTTTCGCAATCCCTAATATTAAAATCTACATTATTTAGTTATAGTGGAGGGGTTTTTGTCCCGTCCAAAATTTGAAATTTGCATTTGTCTATATTAAACTGCTCTGCCTTCTCCGACCTGCATCAGTCTTTCAAAATTTTTCCTGGAGTGCCGAATGTCCTCGTCAGAATGAATTCGAGGCCCCATTTTTGGGGTTTTCAAATCGGAAATTGCCTGTCGCTTTTATGCCTCATCCATGTCGTTTTGTAGATTGTGAAACAGGGGGCCCAACACTGACCCGTGGAAAAACCCCTCGTGACGCTTCCCCCTCGATTTCTCCCCCTTTATGCAAAACTCTCTGCTGCCCATTTTTCAACCTGCCCCCTTTTCCAGGAAAAAAATTTCTCCCTTTCCCTGTGCTTTTAAAATTTTTTCAATATCTTGATGTGGGGGGCCCTGTCAAAAAACCTTTCTGAAGTCCATATACACAAAATCAATTTTTGTTACCCTGATCTACTCCCCAAATATTTGTGAAAAAAGTTAATAAATCGTAAGCAGGAAAAGTCCCTTTGTAAAACCTGCTGAGATTCGTTGATTAATTTTGCTTTTAAGGTGGTCGAACTGCCCCGGCAATTATTGTTTTTATTAAATTTTCCCACTATGGGGTTAGGCTTTTGGTCTATAGTTCGAAAAATAAGGACCTGTCACCCGTTTTTAAAAAAGGGTTTACATTTGCCCCTTTTCCCCTTATCTGGCACCATGCCGTTTTTAGTGATATGTTGAAAAAGATTAGCCAAAGGTGTGTAAGTCCTTTTAATTCCTTTTGAACCCTTGCATCAGTTCTCAGGGCCTGGGGATTTGTTAGGTTTTAATTTTTTTATTTGCCTAAGGACCATGTACTTGGACCCCAAAGTGCAAGTTTTTTATCGTCTGTTTTACTAATTTTTCAAATGGAATATCCGGTATCCTCCTGTGTAAAAAACTGAGAGGAAGTATGTGTTAAAAATTCTACCATTTCCTTATCCTGTCAGTGAGCTGAACCCCAGGAACTTTGAGTGGGCCTTCTTGTCCCGATCTTATTCCTGTATACCTGAAAGATCCTTTTGGGTTAGTTTCGATTCTTTGCAACTTTAACCCTCATAATTCTTTTTGCTTTTCTAATTCCCTTTTTTTTCTCTCTTTAACTGAAATTATCGATTTCTTAATTCCCCCTTCCTCTTTTGATTTGCCTATTTTCCCTCTCTTTTGCCCAATCGATTTTTAATCTATTGTTCACCTTTTAGGATCTTTTTTTTTTGACTGTTTCCCATTTGGAACATAATTTGACTGGCAGCTGAACTTGCCCTGGAAAGCATCTAGGGGGGAAACCATCACACCTCCCTGCCCCCTAGTCGGGTCATTCCAGTTCGCCCACCTAAGAATTTTTTCGCCCTATAAAATCACCCAAGCAAAAAGTCGGGACGGAGCTTGATTGCCTTTATTGGGGGAAATTTCCAGATATTTTAAAAAAATGAGTGTTGTGTCCTCTCCCAAGTATCATTAACCAAGATTATTTTTAGTTTTTCCCTTGGCAAGAACCAAGTAAAGGGGGTTTTTTCCCCCTATTTGGCTCTGTCAAAATGTTTTAAAAAAATCCTGGTCGTATAAAGGGAAAAGTCCCCGACTCAAAAATTTCCCTGTCAAATTGCCCCAGTCAATCTGTCTATAGTTGAAACTCCCATTGCACAACTTTTCGTTGTAGATGCCTTCGATTTTTCGTCCATAAAAGTTTACTGCCCCCCTATCAAGATTTGGGGCCCTGAAAAATCACACCCAAAATTAGTTTTTTGGGCCCCTCGAGAAGCTGTAACCAAAAAGTTTAGGGCTGCGTTTAAATTTTTTTCTTGTTAAAAACAACTTTAAATTGTCTTGACATCATCGTATCCCCCCCTTTCTGTTGCCCTGTCGTGTGGAAAAACTTATAGCCTTGTATGTGACATTCAGGGGGCATCTCTCTTCTTTTAGATTGAGCCCGGTTCTGTTATAGCAATAATATCTTGTTTCCTGCCTTGCAATTAATCTTGTCATCTATTTTTTTTCTAAAACTCCTGCTATTAGTATAGTAAACCCCAAGGGAGTAGTCCCCCTTTTGC